GATATGTGATAGGTAGGATTTTAATTGAGGAGGGTGGTAGGGGAGGACCAGAGGAAGAAGGGAACTGGGATTGTCATGTAAAACAATCTTGTTTCTAATTCAAATAAAAAATCTGAAAAAACAAAAAACAAAAAGAACTGCTCAAGAACAAAGAGAAAGAGAGGACATGTTTTATGCAGCAGGTACTCAACAGTTAAATGTATCAATAAGGACATGAAGGAATGTGACTAATACGCTAAAGCAGGAAGTGTCAAGTCAGTGACCTCCACCTTTGCTGTCCAGGATGGTAGCCACTAGCCACCAGGGGCTTTTAGACACTTGAAAGAAATGCAGTCCCAACAGAGAGCTTTATGTCTCTAAGTGTTCAACATGAAGGAACACAGAATAGCTAACATAGGAACTTAAGTTTTTACATTGATTACATCCAAAAAGGTTACTATTTTGTATATATTAGGTGATTTGAGCTAATGAAGCTAGTTTAACCTATTTTTTAATATATATATTTAAACGTGCCTGGGCCTGGGGAAACGGCTCAGTGGGTAAAACACTTGCATGTAAGTATGGGGACTTGAGTTCGGATCTCCGGAACCTATGTAAAGCTGGAGAATCCTCAGAAGCTTTCAGGCTACCTGGGCTGGTTGAATTGGTGGTAACAGGAGACCCACAATCAGGGTTAGAAGGCAAGGACTGACACTGGACATTGTTCTCTGACCTTCACTTGAGATCTGTGGCATGCCAGCATGCTCACATGCCCTGCGTACACACCCATACCCAGAAAGTGAGGGGAGTGGAGAGGGAAGGAGGAAGAGAGAGACAGAGAACAAGAACATGAGGCGGACTCAAAAATCCAAGGATGCATTCCATTTCTCTCAGACAGTGGTGGTTTGGAAAGAAGAATAACCGAAATTCAAAGTAGGAAAACACACTGTAGACTTGGGGCATTGTTGAAGTCTTCACAAAGGCTAGGATTTCACTGCATGGGGTGGCCTGAGCGGAGATGAAGAGATGAAGCGAGGGGATCATGGGTAGTGAATGATGACAGTGCCAAATAGGCTCCTCTGAGCTGTACCAATCTGCTTCTGGGAGGGAGAAAAGTTTCGTGGGTAGTTTGGGGCCAAACTAAACTGAATTTGGGCGCCAAGAATATGGCCCTGTAGGTATGTAAGCAGAGAATGACTCGCAGAAGACAACTCGAGTTCTTTAGCAGTGTACGGATTGCCTGAAGTGGGACTTTATTCATGTGGGAACTGAGCAACACAGGCTTCTAGAATCTTCCTGTGGCTAAGCAGCCAGGATCTGGTCTTCCTGTGCCATAAGTGTACAAAGTTGACTACAATGTTGGTTGACACATGGCGGGGAGTGGGTGACACCTGGGAGAGAAGGATTCAGGTGGTGTGATGATTTTTGTGAGTGTGACACATGCTTTTCGCCTCAGTATTCTACCCTAGACACATGTGTGTCTAGACAGGGCATGGTTTTCTACTTTGTAGTCTGCTCATTATTTTGCTGAGCCCTTGTAGACCTGTTTAAGGTATTAATATCTAAGGTGATGGCTCAGTGGCTACACTCCTGTATAACTTTGCTTGCTGCCTGGTTCTCAAGGTCTCCAGACAGAACCTAAGATAAAGAACCAAATGGGATCGAGGTTCCACCCAGCTCTGTGATTCTAGAACAGGCTCCTGTCACAAAGCTGGAGCACACACCACAGTTACCAGGACAAGGTTACTTAAAGTAGGAGGGAGCTCGCCAGAGAGGGCAGACCCTGGGAACCTTCACAGGAGTTGGCCCAAACCTCCGAGGGAGACTGGTCTCTCACAGGAGAGCAGACCTGCTGGAGGTTAGTGTGTTGGTCCTGGTCGCACAGCCCTCCCATTCCAGGGCTGGCTCATCAGAAAGACTGAAGGTTTGTTTGAGGAAAGCAGGGATCCCAGGCCTATAGCTCGGGCGCAGAGGATCTCTTCTTGTCTGGGAAAGACTGAAAAAAAGAAAGAAAGAAAGAAAGAAAGAAAGAAAGAAAGAAAGAAAGAAAGAAAGAAAGAAAGAAAGAGTGTGTAGCCCTTACTTGAAAATTTCTGGCACTCTCGGGCACTCTCCGCCTTTGTGAGAGTGGCTGCTAGGGATAGGGGCGGTGCTCTACAAAGGGGCTTCAGCCTGACTTTGTAAAGCATTTCTAGAACACTGTGGGTGGGAAGCGACTAGAGTCCCAGAAACTCGAACACTGACGCACAGGAAAGTCTCAAGTGGGTGGAGAAATGCAAATCCCCTAGTGGCATGGCGTCAGCAGCTGTGGATCCTGAAGGTCGATTCTGACTTTGGACTTGAGCAGTAGCAGCACCTGGACTGAGGGAGAGCCAGGTAAGCCCGACAGCCCGCATCGCATCGCCTCTTCGCGAGAGGAAGGGCTGCTCTTGGCAGTTGGCATTGTGTTGCTTGTTTGAACATGCCCGGGGAGGGGTGCCTATGAAAGAAAGGTCTTACTTCTTACACTCAAATCGCTCGCTAAAACCATCTTCCAAAGAGCTGAAGTTCTGACGCGGATCTTCCTGGAGGAGGGGGAAGCTGCGGCATCCTGAAGTTGAGCCACCGGTGGGGTGGGGGCTGTGGCTGTGGCTGCGGCGGAGGTGTGTCCGCTGGGGGCTGGAAGAGAACCCTTTTCGTTTTCTGTAGCCCGCAGAGAGCTGTGATGTCTGACTCGAGATGGGCATAACAGGGTTTCAGAGAAACAGCACCCAGCTAGGGTAGTGGGTTAACTGTGGCTTTGAGAAGTGTGAGTGGTGTTGTAGGGTGGGTGGCCTGCAAAAGGGAGGGAGCTGCCAGGCACCCAGGTTTTAGATGGAAACTACCTGTCGTACGGCAGGAGAGTAAGCCCCTTGGAGGCTTACTCTCCAAGACCCCAGACACCTCGCTGGAGTCTGGAAGCAAAACAACAACAACCGCCCCACACACACACCAAACTACCCCCCAAACACAAACGAACAAAACCCTTTAATTTCTTAGTTCCACTTATTGTTCTAATGTTTATTAACATTTATTTAATGTTTCAGAAAATAATTTGAAACATAAATTATCAAATTATTCGTATCGATCTTCTGTTCTCTCCAGAGTATTCCCTCTCAACTTCATGCGCTGTTTTGTGTTTGCTTCACTTACTGGGTGCCACCTGTGTTCGTTCGCATGGGTGATGCTAGACTGCCTACTGGAGCACTGGTGTTCTTGGGACTCCATCCCTGAAGAAAATTGACACTCTCCTCCACCCCCACCCCCAGCAACCGTCCGTTGCCATAGTTCTTCAGCCAGGGGTGGGACTATCCTGACAAGCTCAAACCAGTAAGGTCTGCAGGCTTTCATCTCCAGGGACAGCCCAGGAGAGGAGGGTCCCTCTGCACCCTGTTTCGGCCTTGATTCGAAAGAGTGACTTTGCTGAGTGATTTAACTGTTAGACAAGTTTTTGGTTAGAAAATAGCCATGCATTCAAACCATGGAAGGGATTTAGCAATAGAAACAATGTAAGGGGCCCTGATATCTCCATCCCACCCCACCCCACTCCTTCACTGTACCAAGGCTTTGTTGCTGGTAGGAGAGAAGAATGTTCCAATTTTGTTCCCAGATATGGGAGGTTTGTCAGAGGTGCACGCTGTTGTGGGCAGGGGTCACATGTCCTCTTGGTCTCATTTATTTCAGAGTTTGTAAACCCAGAGATGCTTCCTATCCTGTCTATTCATAGTGCCATCAGGAGGGCTGCGCCTGCGTCATTAAACAAGTATTTATGGCTCACTCACAGCGTACCTGCAATGACCATTTTCGAGTGTTCACGAGCAGAAAGTCATATGCAAGATCAAGATAGTTTCTCTCCCTAACTACTTTCTCCTGAGCGATACACAACTTCTTTTGGTACACTTTAGAGCATTTAGTGGGAGCTCAAGGAAAGGATGTTTAACAGTGTTCCCCCTGAAATCTGAAGACTGTATATACTCAATTTGTTCTGTAAGCAAAAGATGTGTTGCTTCCAAGATGTGTTGAAATGCAGTGTGAAAGTTTTTGCTTTGACTTAACATTACTAAAAAAGAATCCTGCATTCCAAAAGAGCAAAACACAGTAACTTCAGTGGGATTATGTCATAAACGTGTTTCTAAGCTAGGAAGTATATTTACAGCCTCCATGATGGCCAGAGTGGGCAGATAGGTTATATGAGAGGAGCACATTTCTCTGTGTGTTTGTTATGTAAATGGTATGGTTTATTCTACTTTAACTTGAGAACCTGTGGTCAGATGCAAGGTGGGCTTTGTATGTAAAAAGGCTATGCCCAACCATAAATCACTAGAGAAAAAGAAGTGTTTATTGTTTTAGAACTATTGTGCATGGATATATCTAGAACCTTGGAGAAGTGCATGCATGCAATTCCTCAGGAAGCTGCCACAGAACTGGACTCTAGTCCAGTGCATGAAGCTGACTGTGGAGTCCAGACGAACATGAAATAAAGAAAACCAGGCTTGAATATTTCCATGTCAAAGAAGCTTTGGGGAAGAAAGGTTGAATAAGACTTGGGAAGTACAGTCAATGTAGAGAATTTGTGTACTTTCCTCTTGCTGAGGGAGGGACAGCTAGGGAAGCAGTTTGCTGACATTAAAGACTCTTTTCGATGGAGCCTGTGTGGACAGTTGGGGTAGGGCATGGGTGTTTTGGGAGGAGGGGTGGGACTTCCTGGAGAGAAGGCATAGGAGGTCATGGTAGAGCAAGGAAGGATGTGGTTTTGGGGGCAGATGAAGAAGACTGTCCTGTACTAGGGATACCTTTTAAGAAAACACTAAGAGGAATTGCCGAACATTGGGCTTTAAACTGTATTTTCTTCTTCCTTTCTTTGAGAAATTAGAAAAGTTGAATTTTCCCCCTCCAATTAACTAATAGCTAACCGCTTATTCAGGTCTGAGGCAGCAGAAACCCATCTTATTGTTCCCAATGAACAATATTTTAAAACTCCAACTTTACCCTTCTTTTACAGCATGTCTCAGTGGAATCAAGTCCAACAATTAGAAATTAAGTTTTTGGAGCAAGTAGATCAATTCTATGATGACAACTTTCCTATGGAAATCCGGCACCTGCTGGCCCAGTGGATTGAGCATCAAGACTGGTAGGCTAAGATGGATAGATGCTCTGTTTCCTAGCCACATATATGTATTCTATGGTCTGCATTTGTTTGTGTTACATATATAATATGTACCCTCGAGGTTTTGGAAATCCTTCTCAAAGGTGAATTTTGTTTCATCCACTATAGATGAAAACTTAATGGATTTACTGCGTTGTCTTTAAGTATCCTACCATCCCAATTGCTTTAATTACTACTCTATTGCTGTGAAGAGACACCATGACCAAGACAACTCTTATAAAAGAAAGACTTAGTCCATTATTATCATGGCAGGGAGTATGGTGGCACTGGAGTAGTACCTGGGAGTTACATCTTGGTCTGCAGGGGTGGGGGAAGAGAGAGAGAGGAGAGAGGGGGAGAGAGAATGTGTGTGTGTGTGTGTGTGTGTGTGTGTGTGAGAGAGAGAGAGAGAGAGAGAGAGAGAGAGAGAGAGAGAGAGAGAGAGAAGAGAGAGGAGAGAGAGACTGTATGGGCCTGGCTTGGGCTTTTGAAACCTCAAAGCTCATCCCCAGTGACATATTTCCTCCAACAAGGCCACATCTTCTCCAACAAGACCATACCTCCTAGTCCTTTCAAATAATGCTTCTCCATAGTAACTAAGCATTGAACATATGAGCCTATGGGAGCCATTCTTATTCAGACCACCATACTAATGCTTTAGGCATAAACAGTCCCACAGATACAAACCCATTAATTTCAGTTCTGTTATCATAGACCCAATGCTAGTAAATACTCTTTTTAGGAGCCCCTTTCCACCTTCAGTGGGAAACATTCACCTCCCTCAAACAGACCATGTTCTGACTTCTCTCCCCAACTCCATTTTCAACAAGCTCCTTCCGTGTCCCTGGCTGCCTCTAACTTATTAGAATTAAAGCAAGGTGAAGGCAAACAGCATGCTCAGCATTGCTATACCAAACTTTATACATGGCAAATAAATCAAAACAGCTTTTTCTATATGAATATGAAACTGTCCAGCTAATAAACTTTTTGCAAAGCCCCGTTTCCCATATATAACTAAATTTTGCTTTTTGCTTCAGTCATCTTTTCTATTGTGTCAAAATATAAACCACAGAACAAAGGATTTTAACCACTCTGAACTGTACAGTTTAGTAGTAGTAACCGTGTTCTCATGGTTCTGCCGTTATCATCCCATCTGCAGCATGTAGCCCTCTCTGTCTGAAATTCTGGCTCATTAAACAGTAACCTTGCTCTTCAAAATTCAGTTTCTCTCTCTCTCTCTCTCTCTCTCTCTCTCTCTCTCTCTCTCATTTACAAATTTGAGTACAAGAGGTACTTTGTATGAAGGAACCACATAAGTTTTCTCCTGTGGCTGACTTATTTCCTTGAATGTAACATTTTTCAGATTCATTCTCATCATTGCATGTACCAGAATTTTATTCAGATATGAAGCTTGAATAGTATTGCCCTGTGTGGACAAACTAGCAATGGTTGGAGCCATGTACTCACTGTGTGGACACACTACCAATGGTTGGAGCCATGTACTCACTGTGTGGACACACTACCAATGGTTAGAAACATGTACTCACTACCTGAGGTCAGAACCATGTATTCACGGATGGACATTCAGTTTTTCTACCTTTAGACCATTGCCAATGCCTGGTCTCATCCTGGCTGTTTGCATATAGACCCAAATACAGACCTGTTGAGTCAGCTGGCAATTGTATATATTATAAGTAACCGTTAAACTTTTCACACTATTTGTAGCACTTTGCATTCTCATCAGCAATATATAAAGGCTTCAATTTCTTACTATTCTTGCCAAGACTTATTTTCTGATTTTTGTTTTGATTATTTAAAAAAATAATAGCCATTCCACTGAGGATTAAGTGGCATTGTACTGTAGTTTTGATTTATAAAACTCTGATGATTAGTGAAATTGAAGTATTTTATGTATTCTATTTAACTTTTAAAACACTTAAATGCTTGTCACTGTGGAATAAATCTGATATTTAAAAATGTATATGGTAAATAAGTAAATATTTTGTTAACTGTTTCTTATTGAGTATTAACACCTTGACATTTTTATTTAATTTTAGGGAGGTAGCATCTAACAATGAAACTATGGCAACAATTCTTCTTCAAAACTTATTAATACAATTGGATGAACAGTTAGGTCGTGTTTCCAAAGAGAAAAACCTGCTATTGATCCACAATCTAAAGAGAATTAGAAAAGTTCTTCAGGTAAGAATGCATTTCTACTTTTCAAAAAAAGGAATGTGCAAGTCTTCAATTTGGGATAAAACTTGTATATGTACCCTTAAATTACTTTCAAAAGATTTAAAGGTAAAATGATTTCTTCATCACTTAAATTTTTTATTTTCAAAAAAATTTAGCCTAAGATTCTATGGAAGTGAGAAGAAGGTGTGTGTGTGTGTGTGTGTGTGTGTGTGTGTGTGTTACTCATCTGGCTTATTTCCTAATTATCACCAAGTTTAATATCATGAAAACAAATTTAAAAGAGCAGTTGTTCATGGCTGTCCTCTGACCCTTCCGTGCCTTCGTCTCTTATATAACAATGAGTTAATATTCTCATTTGTAAGTGTAAGCATCATGCATGTTATAATTGATTACATAATGTTGATGCATTATTATTAGCTTAAATCCCCAGAGTTAATTAAGGTGAATTAAGTATGTCTGTGGATTTTAACACACATGTCATTCATATACCATTACAACATTTCACAGAAGAGTTTCATAGTTCAGAAATCTCCTGTGTTTCAGTCATTTTCCCTTCTGTCTTCACACTGAATGCCTGAAATTACTGGCCATTTCCTCCCTGAAGTTTGCCTTTTCTCTAATGTCTTACAGTTAGAAACATATAGTTTGTAGCTTTTTAAAAGACTGGCTTCTTCTACCTAGTAGCAAACACTAAAAGCCTCTATTTCATGGTGTGATAGATCAATCACTAAATAATACTTCAGTATACTTATTTTATTCATTCTAAATAAAGCTACTGTCAGGAATTACATGTAGGTTTTTGCAAGGGTCTAAGTATTCATTTCATTTGAGTCATTACCCAAAACCACGTTTTCTAATGTTGTTATTTTTGGACTTTTTGGTTATTTTTATTCAACTTCCTTTCTTTCTCCCTCAGATAGAATGATGAACACTCATAATAAAAATTGAAACAACATTAAAAAATGCAGAGAAAGCTAGAAACAATCCAAAACCTAATTCTTGGAAATAAGCATGCTAATATTTTGATGAACATCAATGCAACACTTATTTTTACATGTGTATTTTCAGATAGCTCAGTAGAATAAATTGCAACTACTACCTGTACAACTTTCACTCCTGTCTCCATACATTGTGTGCATGCACAGATAAAAGGTGGAACAGTTACTACCCCCTCAGCACCCCCCCACACACACACCACAAAATCTCCATGACCCTTCCTTTCCTTCATCTTTTTGTCAATGTGCAATAATTTTTGTTTTTGGTGTTTTGAGACAAGCTTTCTCTGTAGACCTGGCTGTCCTTGGAACTTGCTCTGTAGACCAGTCTGGCCACCAACTCAGAGATCCACCTACCTCTCCCTTCCTCTACCCAGTTCTGGCATTAAAGGCATGTGCCACAACTCCTGGCCTGTAATTTCTACATCTATTTATTCTTGTCTGAAGAATATAATCTCCAGCAAGGGAAAGACTTTGTTTCCTTTACTCTTATATTCTTAATGCCTACATAGTGCCTAGACACACAAAATAATAAACACCAATATAGGATTGGAGTAAATATAGGATTTGGAGTAAAAGTAGAGTGGTATTATATGTGCATCTGAAAATAAATTTTATTTGAATTGATGGAATATTAAAAGTTGTTTATCAAATAAGTGTTTCCTCACTTCCAGAAAGATTTTTTCTCAAAGAAATTCCACTCAAGTTAACAAAACCATGAAAAGCATAAAATGTTGGAATATACATACTATCTCAAACTATATTTTGGCTTTTAAACAGTTGTCTCTTGACTTAAAGATAGTAAATGTGAGGAAATTGCTGTCCACCCATCACCCCATCTCTGTGTTTGTGGATCAAGTGTGCCATGTCATGTGTATGGAGATCAAAGAATAAATTTCAGGAGTTGATTCTTTCCTTCTACCACATGGGTTTCAGGAATTAAATTGAGGTTGTCAAGTTTGACTCTAAGTGCCTCTACTCTCTTCAGCCCAGGTCTGGCAATTTAAGGGACACTGTGGCGGGGTATAAAAACCTTAGGTTGTTTTCTGTAGACATTGCTCTACGAATACTGAGGAAATACTAGCTCATTATGCTGCTTTATGACTAAGCTAGTATAAACACTGACCCTTCAAAGAGATGCAGCATGCAATAGTCAGATAGCCTCACAGATGCACATCTGGCTGTGCACAGTACTACTTATAGTGAAGGTTCAAGGAGAATAGCATGCTTTCTCACAAATCTGCCTAATAAACTGGCCTCTCATGTGTACTGGCTCCCTGAGCTAATTACAATTGTCTATGAACCAGCTAGAAAAGGCATGAATCTGAATGGCCAAAGCTTGCTGGTTCAGTCTGGATATTCAAATAATACCATGCAATTTGGCATCTGTCTATTATTTCTAATGGATAGATTGCTAGAGCTTTGTAGATTCTTTATTTCTCTGAAAACTCCTGTATTTCCTCCTTAACTCCAATCTGCTGTCTCCCCACCAAGAGGATGATATAAAGTGAGTATTTACCAGTCTCTTCGGCTTTGTTGCTGTTTTATCTTGTATATTTGCATCCCTAAAGAATACACAGGAGGTTTGTGACCTATTGAATTTCACATAAATGGGATCACACTACATTTACACTTCAACAACGTTTCATAGTTTCCAAGATTCATCAGCACCAACCTTGATTGCAATATTCTCTTCACTTTTATTCCCACACTCTATTCCTATATATGGCTATATCAAAATTTGTTCATTTTATAGTTGATTTATTTACCATGTTCCTTTTCAACTTCAAATATCATTGCCCTAAACATCTTGCATGTGTCCCTTGGTACAAGAAATTCTCTACAATACACATGAGTAGTAGGATTTCTGAACTATACAGTTTGTATGTATTTAATTGTGCTGCATATTGGTGGTATTTATCAGCTTACCTCTGTGTACTTTTTCTAACTTCATTTATATGTTTTTTTCTTAATAGAGACATTTAAGTTCACATTTTAACAGATACTTTTGTATACTTCAATTTGTAATTCTTTCATTGTATGTAAATAATCCATAATTCCATCCTTGACTATTTCTGCCTAGATAAACCTTAAAATGACCCAACTACACACAAATACTGTAAAATAAAGCATAAACACACCTAAAAATTTATAGAATTATGGGACAGTATTTAAGAAGAGCTGTAAAGCTACTGTAAATGTCAATTGGCAACATGATTTCCACACATTCTTTGTAGATAGCCTACAAAGAAAAGAGACTGGATGCTAAGATAAAAACTTTAAGAAGCAAAAACTTAAAGCAGTTTCTTTTTTAAAAGATTTTATTTATTTATTATGAATACAACATTCTGCTTCCATGTATATCTGCACACCAGATCTCATAATGGATGTTTGTGAGCCACCATGTGGTTGCTGGGAATTGAACTCAGGACCTCTGGAAGAGCAGTCAGTGCTCTTAACCTCTGAGCCATCTCTCCAGCCCAAAACAGTTTCTTTACAAAACCAAAATACAAAGTCCATCAACTTAAAATTCTGCCTAAGTTCTTACAGGATTGAAATGTTCCACAGAAGTTAATTTGGTCATCAACTATTTAATGAGTACTGGGTGTGTACCTGGCCACATTTTAAGTACCAGGAATGCAATTAGGGGATGTCATGATCTTGCAGTTTAAAGAGTTCCCACTTCCTGTGTTTTGGTTTTTAAATTTAGATGAAATTTTGTGGGTACTCTTCAGGTCTGAGTGAGATGGGGGCAGCAGGCACGAGCATCTGCTCTGATGAGAGAACCTTTTCCCCTGTCAATCAGAAAGTTCTGTTTGTAGTCTTGGTGTTAGTTCTGTGGTTACTAATCCCACCACCTGCACAGTGCTCTTCATAGGCCGTGGTGGGAGGCTGAAACTCAGTGGGTGAGGTGACACCAGAAAGCATAACCTTTACAATACCTGGCCTAGCCTCTGCCTCACCATGTCCTCTGTGTTGGAGGGCACCCGAGTGTGTTTGAATAAAAATGTGCTCTTAGTTTTGTTAATGTGACCAATTGAGTAAGAGACACACTTGGCAATGCCAGGAAGATAAAATAAAACAAATAGAGAAATATTGCTTAGTATACGGAACTGAACTCGCCAGATCTTATCCTCTAACCCACTGTTTTCTCTGTTTACTCCTCTTCCTTCCCCTCTGTACAACACACACACACACACACACACACACACACACACACACGAGAGAGAGAGAGAGAGAGAGAGAGAGAGAGAGAGAGAGAGAGAAAGTAAAGAGATAGCCACAGTCTAAGTCTTGAAAAGAAAGTGCAGCCACTGCATGTAATTCTAAGAGTAGAAGGTTTATACTTCGTGAAAACCTCCAAGTAGAAGGTTCTATATTCCCTTTTCATTCTGCCACTAAACAATTCTGCCAATTTGTCAATCAGTTCACAGAGTTGAGTTACTTCCTCAACCTCCTGACAAACTGTTCCTTGAGATCTGTCATCTAGACAACAGTACGTTCCTCAACCTCCTGACAAACTGTTCCTTGAGATCTGTCATCTAGACAACTGTCTGGTACCCACCTCACAGCACTCATATTTTCAAAGGCATGGAGACTTGTGTGTTGTTAATTCGTTGTCAGGACTTTGAGGCCTGATTTGAAACAGGGGACAGGTGGATGGTGTACAGTTTAATTTCTTGTTTTAAACGCATCACACCAAACTGGAATTCAACACCAGGAACTGATGCGTCTAAACAGCTCAACTTTCATTCATGAATTGCTTTGTGCACATTCCTTCAGGCCCTTATCCTCTCTAGGACCACTTCAATAGCTCTTTGAGAAATTGAATCTGGGGCTGTAGGGGTGGCCCAGGGGTTAAGAACACTTGCTGTTCTAGCAGAGGACCCAAGTTCAGTTCTCAGCACTTACATGATGGCTAACAATATCCATAACTCTAATTCTGGGGATCCAATGCTACCTTCTGAACTATGAGGGCACTAGGTGTACACACAGTGCACATACAGG